TATATATATGTGTGTGTGTGACATGTCCGATTGGGGACTAATGTATAATCATAGAGTGCTCTATCATCTGCAGGACTAACAGGACAGGAGTCAGCTGTCATGCTGATGATGAAGTGTATAATCTCCTCAGCAGGTCTGGAGAACAGCTCTGAGTTTAATGATCCCTCACACACAGCAAGAGCATTATCATCTGTAGAGTGGTCATCTTCTGTCCTCAGATCAGCCATTTCAGGAGTTATCGCTGGATGTTTGACTCGTTTAATCAGTTTATGATATGGTAGATGAATGTTGAGTTACCTCAAACAATACAAGAGCTGTTCTTGATGTTGTAGATCACTCAGAGATGATTCCAGATCAGTTTTTTCCTTCTTCCTGATTTCTATAAAGCACATTTGACTCCACTGAGTTTCCCTTTATTCTTAAACCCTTAAGCACTTCTGGTTTTGGTCTGGTTTTGTATTAATGCTGTTCAAACATTGTACAGTAATGCTAATGCTAACTGAAATAACAACATGGCCCCTCTCGCAGATTAACATGAACAGAGGCATTGGTCAGGGCTGCCCTTTTCTTCTTCCTATGCAACTTTTAGCCTTCAATATTTAAAACAGTCATTTAAAATGGATTTCTGTGGTAAATTGCGCATTTTTGATTAGTCCGCTGGCTCTCATCAGTCATTTTGGGAGTTATTGCAGAGTGTTTTACTCATTTAATCATTCACAGTGGTCTATATTCCCAATCATTTCATTTAATAGTGTAATTTCACTGTTCACACACACACTGATGTTCTGTTCACCCAAACACAGCTGCTGCTGCTGGTCCAGAATCAGTCTCCAATACAGCAGCACTTGATGAAAATCCAGAGATCATTCATAAGCATTCTGAGTTTCATATGAGTGACCATACTCTGACTCCAGAACATTAAAGCAGTCAGTAAGCATTATAGAGCTCTGAGAGACAGCTGTATGAGCAGGGTGAAGACGAGTATTTACTGTCACTACTGAACATTAATAACCCATTCACTATATCAGCCTCCTCATCATATATAATAATCTCACAGTTTTATATGGAGTCAGTCATCATTTACCAAATAAACATCAACATTTATTGCCTCAGTGTATTCATTCATCACACACTGCTGCTGTCGTAATGCTGAATGAATCTAGAGAGGTTCAGAGGAGTCTACAGAAGGCTGTTCCCTCACTAATAATCAATAATCAATAACTTGCATTATTATGCTTTATTCTGTTTGCTTTATCAATGTTCAAACACTCTAAATGGTCAGATTTTTAGCCCAATAAAAGCTGATATTTAAGCTGATATTCAGACATGTTCCTGTATATATATATATATGTTTTTTCATAGATGTGTCAGAGATTTGGGGCTTAGGATGACGTTACCTGCCCAATAATGCTCAGATGATGCTGATAATACCACACCGCAGTACTCCTGCTCATGTGTGAGCTGGCGGAGCTCCACATGTACACCACATGGTCACACTCAGCTCCTGGAGGGCCGCAGCTCTGCACAGTTCAGCTCCATCCCTGATCAAACACAGCTGATGGACTGCTTCAGGAGAGGGGTGTTGAAGCAGGCCTGGACCTAAACTCTGGAGGAATCAGACACCCCTGCTGTACACTTTTACACCATAGAGTCAACGGCTTTGTCTGAAATCACCCCTATGCCCTTAATAGTGCATAAAACACTCACTCAATCAATCCCACAATGCACACACTCCGATCCTGGAGAACATTTAATACCAGACAGAGAAGAGCAGATGAAGAGGAGGACCAGCGCCCACACCAGCCAATCCAGAGCTGAGTCAGCAAACCAGACCCCCGACATCCCATAATAACCCCCTACAGTTCATCAGCAGTGTAATAAATAGCATTCAGGAGTGTGTGTGTGTGTGTGATTATCGTGTTGACTGGAATAAAAACATTAGTCTGCTGTCTGAGTGTTTTGGATTACGAGGACACACTCAGACGTCCCCATAATGCACAACCGTCAGCTCAGATCATATTTAATGGGGTTCTGTCAATCATCCACAGGTGTGCTGAGGGCGGGGCTTAGGGGAGGAGCTTTACAGTATAAAACACGTCACGCCTACAGAGTCCTCATAAACCATATATACAAGAGAGTGTTGTGTGTGTGTGTGTGTGGGGTTAGCTGTTGTCCTGTGCGCTGCTGTACGGTACACTGGAGCTGATCAGCACAGTCTCTGTAGCTGCTGACGCAGGGGTGTGTGTGTGCGAGCAGCTGGAGCAGATGTAGTCCTCGGTCTCCGCCATCTCACAGGTCACACCCACACACACCTGGTGGAACCACTCGTCACAGCCGCCGTCACACTGCACCCAGTCCACCTGGAGGACACACACGCACATACACACACACACAATGAGCAGACAGAAACACACACAGGACTGAAAGCGTGTGTAACCGTGTGTGTGTGTGTGTGTCTGACCTTGTCCCTGCAGGGCCTCTGGCAGTTGCGGGCCGCACAGACGGCGTTCTCATCGTTGGAGTCCTCGGCCCCGGACCAGTCATATTTGGAGGGTATGTCGAGGGCCTTGCGGCGGCTCCTGTCGGGGCCAGGGCCGGGGGGCAGCTCCGCCTTGGCCTTCTCCTTGTCCTTCTCCTTGCGCTTGCGCTCCTTCTCCTCCTTGGCGATGCGCTTGGCCAGCTGCTTGAGCTCGCGGCTCTTCTCAGGGCCCATCTTCAGCTTCTTCTTCTTGGGCTTGAGCTCCAGCGCCCTCTTCAGGTCGCGGCTCCGGCCCCCCGCGGCCCCCGACAGCAGCAGCTCCGCCCGCTCCAGCTTCCTCTTCCTCTTCTTCTCCAGATCCTTCACCTTCAGCTTCAGCGCGCGCTCCAGCGGGGCGTCCTCCGCCTGCACAGGGGTCAGAGGTCACACACACACTCATTTCAGAGGACGCACCCTATGGAGGATGCATTACAAGGACACTGCGCTACGAAGACTATGGCTACATCCGACATCTACTACTCAGTGTGCACTACATTCACCAACTATTCCAGCATATGTTTTACACAGCGGATGCCCTTCCAGCTGCAACCCAGTAGTGGGGAAACACCCATACTGACCACTGAGCCCAAGTGTGCTCTGCATTGAGGTTACTCCTCAAATCTCATTAGCAGCAGAGGTCAGGGTTGTAGTAGACGAGATGTGCCCTCTGTAGGAGATGGATGCTAGCCTAAGTACCTCCACCCCCTGCAGGAAGCGGTCCTCTGACGGCGGCTGCGTGGCCTGCAGGATCCTC